GCTAACCTTCACTGAAGACCGCTTCACTAGACGCCACCGGTGCACGCGCCAGTTTGCCATAAGCCAGACTAACTGGCCTATTTGAGAAATCAGAAAACGAAAGAGATTGCGATTCAAAACAAGATAACCGTACGATAAATGTAGGAGTAACAGTCAGGGAGGCGAGAAAGAGAAACTCATCGGGGAATCTTCCGTTCACTTAGGGTCAAAATAGGGGGGGGGACCACAGAGTTTACAAAGACCATAACAACGGTACCGGAGGTTTGAGCAACATACACGCTTTCTGATTGCAGAATCCATCGGCAAAGTTGAAAAAACAGAGGAAACCGACACGATCTTCGAAGTTTATTTTTTAAGCTACTTCACTGTTTCTAGACATGCCGACATTGAAGTAATATCGACCAAATGGCCAATTTGGAATTTATATTTGTTAGCGCCAGGAAGGCACTATCTTTACAGGTCGTTTGTTATTCAATAAATTTTTCTGGAAATGTCGATAGCGACTCACTGGTGGAAGTTCGATAGCATACCTTAATCGAGAGCTTATTGCCCCATACAGTTACTAAGCCAAACATTATCAGACGTTTGATTTGTTTTTCGGTGTAAACGACTATGTATGCTCTTGGTGTTTTGGTTTACAGACATAGCGTTGGTGACATTGCTGTACAGCGTCTGCTAATGCGAATTCTGCCCTAAGCACAACTATCCAAAATGGACACTGACTTTTCTTCAACCATTGACTTTAGAATAAGAGAAGACTTGGTTAGTTCGATTGCGAAATGCCAAATTCGTGGGTTAGCCCACAGCGCTGCGTGGCTTTCTGAACTTTTATCGTCATTGGTCCCCCTGTCGTCTGCTCCTCTCGCTGAACCTACGTTGGCTGATTTTCTTATAAAAGAGTACAATACGCTAAAACCTGGAGAGCAGATTGTGCTTGCCTTAGCAAAAACATACTTCGATACTCAGGAATATTCCAGATGTGCCCACCTACTTTCCTCCCATATCGCAAGTCGACAACCGATTCTGTACTTCTTATATGCCTTCGCGCGCTATATGGCAGTTGAAAAAAATAAGACCGACAACGCACTATCGGAGCGTAAGTATTGGAATTGGTCAACTAACTCCGAACCGCCTGAAAACTACGAAAGCTACCGTCGTGCCTTGTCAGATCTTAAATCCGATATGGAATATTTCTTCATGCCCTCACAGCAAGTTACTGAAAAGAACTTGGAATCTTTTCTGTCATCTGGGATCGACGGATATACTGCTTATGTTTACGCCTTAGTTCGTAACCGTTTGGGTTCTCAATCGATGGCTCTCCGTGTCTTGACATACGTGGTGAAAAAAGATCCCACCATGTGGCCGGCATGGTCTGAATTAATATTACTTTTGAAAGACAGGGAGCAACTGGATCTTCTCTTTCCGGCTACGGGCTGTGCAACAGACTGGTTGAGTGAATTCTTCCGTGCAAAGGTTTGATCGGCAACTTTCGCTTAATTCCTTGGCCAATTATTTTCAGGCTCTCTTGCGCCTTCAGGAGGCTGAGCGTGCTCTGAGTATTCTGCAGGAACTGGAATCAAAAGGATTTCGGAATAGTTTAAATTTGCAGGCCGATATTGCTGAGGCGTACGACCGTCTGCGGGACTTGGACTCTGCCATGGAGCGGTTCAAGCAAGTAAGTCAGTTTTGATTTTCCGGTGTCGAAAGAATATTTTTTCATGTTTATTGAACCGCACACCATTTTACGGTGCTCGATTAAAAGCCCAGCTTCATATTTATTAGTTCCATTAGCAGATTGGATCAGAGTATAATGTTTTTGAGTTTTAAGTGTTTTTAGCCTACATGCAATCACCCTAATAATTATTATGCGCTCATGTTACCTTATCCAACTTTTGTGGAAATACTTGATTAGTCCTCGTACATGAACTGCGGTTGCAATGCTTTGTTTTTGCAAGAAGTGTGAATTGGCCAACTGTAAAAAACTAACTGGTTCTATCTATTCATCGTAATTCATCTGCACAAGACCAGTGCTTACTAACTGTGATCCTAATTTTGGTTAATATAACGATAGTAATGTTTTCGACTGTCCTCTCTTGTGAACGACTTAATGCATCTTGATGTTTATCAGTGTCGTCTTAAATGTGACGCTCTTTTTTCAACAGTGAAAACTAGGTACTGGCGATCCGATAACCAGCCAATGTGTTAGGCGAAAATCACTTGCATTACTTCTAGTGTTTGGACAGAAGTGGTGTCACGAAAGAGGATAAGTAATTTGTAAGAGTCATTTTAGGTATTTGGTGACGTTTTGACGATCCGCAAGTGATGATAAGCACAAACCCTAACGTTTTGCTGGCCTTCAACACATGTCGGTCGTTATTCACACATTTCGGAGAGAAATTTCCGCTGTGACAGTTGACTGTCGCTAATCTTCCTGTTGTTTCTTGCTAGTATATTTATCAACTTCATAAGCAGAAGGCATTTGAAACTGACCATTTCTTTGAACTGATAGCCGTTATCTGCAGGAACTGTCCTGTTTTTTTAGAGACCCAACTTATTACGTTTTCGGGCTTTCCGAAATTAACGAATAAACCGATCTCGATCATCCAGTTTATCAGGTTCTCTGTAGTTTTGGCAGTTGGTGCTAGTAGGACAGTGCCATCATCCTATTCATGGTTGGTTGGCTGGTATTCAGCTGTGAGTAAAGAATCATTTAAATCAAAAAGGTCCCCTTTCGAGAACCCAGTCAGTGACATGATTAACTCAAACAAACTACACGACCCAGCTATTTTTAAGTCTTGACCAAACTTTGAAGGTTTGGGATTTTGTGAAGAAGAACGCTGGCTCGAATAGAGAGACAGTGTGTCTTCATTACAGCAAACTATTTCGGCAGTCGCATACCCAATTACATTTTTATTCGCGACAACTCGGTACGAATGAAACTAATGTGTGCAACGGAGCCCGCGAAACCAGTGGCTGTCGACTGCAGGTTACCGTGACAGGATTATAGGACTCACCAAAGTATAAATATTCGTTTTACACACGCACGCATTGAAGTCGGAAACCATATTGGTTAATTTTCTTCCCTGAATTACACAGTGCAATCACTACTAATGACGAAAACATAAACTATTTGCAGTACTGTCAATAAGAAGCATGTGACACTGATTCGCATATATTGTCTGTTCGCTTTTTCCAACGTACGCGGAAGACTACCAAGCTATGTTTATCAGCTACAGTTCTCACTGCACCTAGTGAATTCAGGGAGCCAGCGTACACAAGAACGTCGCCTCTGGTTGTTGTTGCCTTTTACCTTTTTGTCAGAATGAACAATTGCACAACACTTCACGTTCAAAGATAAAGAACCCACGGCGTCTGATTAAAAGGATTATCGGCCAACTGGTTGCGGAAACTTAAAATGCCCTTCAGATGCCCAAACCAGTACCTGCATTTACCCGATCCATCAACTGTAAGGTTAGGATTCAAGTCGCAAACTTGATTATTCCATACATGGACTCTAACATTGACTTAATGGATTTGTTGATAATTTCGGGGTTTTGTAACTTACCATGCTAACAGCCTAGGTAGTAGTTAAAGGGCCCGGACACGTGTTTCGCCGGTATTCTGCCGCTGCTTGACACAGCTGCCAGGGATCCGGCTCATCAGTGGGTTACCCAGGTTTCCCTGTCTGCTTTCTGGCTGATATACCCGTTTTGAAAGTTCAGCCTTTTAATTTCCTGAGAAATTAATTTCTGTTCGCGGTATACATCAGTATATTTAATGTCTGTAGGCATCGACCGAAATTGTAAGTGTATATTTGGATGGAAACCCGTCAACCACTGCGAAATATGCACTTGCTGCCAATGGACAGACTTTAGTAGTATATATTGATGTTGTAACTTACCATACTAAAATATTTTGAGCCGTCGTAAATTCAAGATGTACAAGCTTTCGACTGCATATCGGCTGTCTATAAGCGAGTTCAGGAAGTTGACTTTCAAGCTTTTGTAGATAGAGATGTGATCTGACCCTACTCACTCTTCATCTTGTGCCGTCCTGTTTGCCTTGCTGTTAATTACACGACACACTCACCGTGAAAGATTGTGACTTATCCACCATGACCTTAAATGCTACTAAATACTCTGATATCAACTCTGTAGAAACACTTCACGAACCATGATAAGATACTGTTAAGAATTGCCAACAGCGAAAGGTAGCTATTATATGAATCAGTTTTGCCAACAAAATTGCAATTCAAGCCGAAGGTTTGCTTTACTGCTCTGGTTGCGAAACAATTTTTTTCACATTTTGAACACCGGCAACGGCATTGTTAACAACAAATGTTCGGTAGACATTTGAATCAGTATAATAGGTCGTCCTGGCAAATAAACAAAAATGTCAATAGTTTCCAGGTACCCTGTCAGAATTTATTTCGTAATGATAGTCTAAGCTCGTCTCTGATCTCTCCAAGTACCAACTCATTCGCCAATCTTGGCTTATTGCAGACGACAACTTGACTCTCCGACTCTCCGAGCCCATCAGCTAGCTAATACAGGGGTTGGACACGATGGTTTACAGAGCTGCAACCGACCGCCTGCGTTTGCCACTTACGATCCGGTTAGGTACCGGGTTGCGCCAAGGGACAAGATCCCCACTTGCGTGAGACATGCCTATTCTGTGCCTGTAATGGGTGATTTGGGGCGGATTTGTGTGTAGCGCATGGGTTGGTGGGTAGATGTGTGTCCCCCAGACCAACACGGGGCCCAGATCAAGGTTCGGCAGGCGCTATTGAGATTGTGATCCCGTAGCAAATGTCGAAAATGGTGGAGGGTGACGTGGTGGTACGCATAGGGATGGCTTTGGCCGCGTCTGCCACCTGCGCTTGATCCCTCCCTCAGACATCTTAACCCTGTCTTGACACCAGGCATAAGTAGGTGGGTAAAGAGAGATTGGTAGGTGCTGCGAAAGTCTACAATCGCTTAAAACTAATTCACACGCAAGTAACTGCTT